AAGCCGGAAGGACATTATATTAAAATAGAATGTCTTTTTGTCGTGATGAAGGCGATTTTTCTGCTTCAACATGATGCATCTTTATTTGGTGATAACCAAAGTAGGCATCGCGGAAGCTCATGATTAAATACCCACCAAGGTATCAATCTTCAGCAGAGGAAGGTATCTTTTAGGCAAGCGACATTAAGGTTGGTGAAGTCAATGCACATCCGTCACTTATCATTGACTTTCTTCACCATGACAACCTTAGAGAGCTAGGTTGGGTACTGGACTTTACAGAGGTAGCCAACGTCTAGCAACTTTTGCACCTCCTCTAAAATGGGTTCAACCAAAGTTCTAGTAATTGACTGGATCTTATGTTGGATCGATTGAGAGTAGGCGCTGATGTCCAGTCACTACATGTCGCGTCAATCTAAACGCTACAACATTGAACACTTCTCGGTGCTCTCAAAGTGTTTCTACCTGTTGGCTCTTGAATGTTGCGTTAAAGTGTTCACTGATCAAAGAAATCTTACTTGGTTCTGTGTTGGATATGGATAGCCTCACTGGTCTCGGACCCTCTCTCTTTGGATATGGATGTCGAGTGATTCGCAGTCGATGCTCGAAATTGCTAAAAAATAGTAGCTTCTAGAATGCTCCGAGTTTCCATTTATCGTAATTACTTCCACATCGCTCGAGAACTTTACCGCTGCATGGTAGGTAAAAGCTACCACCCGGTAGTTGTTCAAGAGTGGTTGACCGAAGTTAGCATTGTAGGTCGCTAGAATGCTCCGAGTTTCCATTTATCGTAATTACTTCCACATCGCTCGAGAACTTTACCGCTGCATGGTAGGTAAAAGCTACCACCCGGTAGTTGTTCAAGAGTGGTTGACCGAAGTTAGCATTGTAGGTCGCTAGGATTCCACCACGAGAAAATCCTTTATACTGTTGTACTGTTTCTCAGATTCTCCCCAAGAGATGGTGACAAGACCTAGCACGTCCTTCCTTTCCCTGGAGAATCTGAATATTGGGTTGGCCGGTGTTATTGATCGGTTGGTCTTCAAGCTAATCCGATCAAACACTGGCTTGAACAGGATGTTTATCAAACTTCTAATATCTAAGAGGATACTATCCACCTGATAGTTGTTGATCAGTGTTGTGATGATGATTGACTTGTTGTAGGGATTCTGCTTCGGCAAGAGATCCTTGTCTGAAAAGTCAATGGATAAATGATTACGCGTATATGTGATGACAGATCATATATCGCCAGAAAATTGTCTCTTTAAGATGGAGAGTCACGTAACCCCCCCCCCACAAGAAGTTTGAACTTCATTTGCTCTGATTGGTCCTTTTAGTGGCTCTCCCACTAGAGCTTTGTCGTTTCACTGCAAATTTACGCTGATTGTTACGAAGTCTTTGAGCTTCCTGACTCAAATGAACTCCTCTATCAAATTCTGGAGGTGATGTCACTCCTTTATGCAGTGGTCGTGGTCATGGTTGTACTGACAATATCTCTTTGAGTCCTGTGAAGCTGGGGGCGCCTTGAAATAATCCTTGTTTTGGATGACCTAGACTATTTTGGTCATTGACACATTGAGAGATGTCAAGCCCTACATTTCTTTATAATCATGCAGCCGCTCTGAATGCTGTTCAGAGTGCCGCTTTGGGTCACGATGCGCCTATTATTTCCCTGTTGATCTCAAGCCTAACAGTTACTGTTTTGGTGACTGGTGGAGCACTGCCTGTCTCTCATCCATTACGATTCACCTCCATCCTTTCATTTTTTTGGGGCGTGCTCGGACGATCCTGGCTTATCCTTCAAAGAGTTCTGAAGGTCTTCCTTGGCGAGTATGTGATCGTTCATGACCAAAAGAAAATATGTTGAGATTTTCATACATATTTTCATTGAGATTTTCATACATATTTTATACTGTTTTTGATGTTATTGCACTTTAAAGAAATGTATTTTTGATGTTTTGTTGTAGGAATGATGAATTAGGGTCATTGGAGCAAAAAAATACAAAAAAAATAAATTTGGAGCAAAAAGGACTAAAATGTGGAGAATTGAACTAGGCCGCCGACGACGCCCTCAACCCCGCAGACGACGAGTTTTTCCCGAGACTACAGGACAAAATTCTTCAGAAGCCCGCCGACGGCTCCCCCGAGGCCGC